AAGGTGGAGGGACCCAAGAAACTAGAGATTTTGAGGTTGAAAGCCATCTTATCCTTGAGTCAATCGCGGCAGAACTCCACGCTCTATCGTGGATGACTGTAAGTCCAGCATATCTGGATAGGCGGACGGCATTACCTTTTCACTGTGATATGGTTCTCAGACTGAGACGTCTTCTTCATTTCGCGGATAAAGAACTCCAGACTACCAGATAAACCAGGAGTTTGAAACAGTGAGGAGAGTACAGATGAGACCAACCTTTCTGTCATACTTAAGGCGCTTAGGTTTCTCGGGCTAGTTCAATAGTGCTACACTTTATAAAAGTAGGAAGAGATGGTGTAGATCTACTAGATGTAGTCCAGGTTTTTTATTTGGGGCTTATGAGATCTGTAAAAAAATTAGCATTTGCGGCGTGCTCTACTGGTTCTGATTCATTTTGGGTGCATAGGCTAGTTTTGTTATTACCCCCTTGTGTTTCATTATTTGTAATTTTACTTTATTGATCATTCCTCTGTAAATTTGGCACATTATATATTAACATTGGTTTCTCAGGGAAAACTTATTTTCTTGTAGAACTGTCTACTTTTGAGTTTGAACATAGTGGTTTTCTCTTGATTGATCACATAATGAGTCAGGACTGTTGGTTGAGTTGCGCAGCTGAAGATTCTGACAGTAGCTAAGGTTCTCAAGACTCAAATGTCTCTCTTCGTCTTCCTCGGGACCACCTTGTGGCTCTCTTTTTGTCAGCCACAAGATTGCAGCTTCCTCGGGTATCTTACTTTGGTAAGAGATCTCTTTACAATATTTTAGTTGCTCCTGTTTCTTGTGTTTGGTAAACTATTTATCGTTAGATTTACTTCATAAAAGGAGAATAACCAGTGTCTGTCTTTAATTATTATCAGGACACAAATGAATAAATAGATGAGAGCTAGTAATTGGACAATAAAGGCGGCGGCCAATTACAAAGGTCATGCGAACTTAAATGCTATGGTATGGTCCCATTCTTTCTTCTATGCATCACATGGCTTGAACAGATTCTTGTCTACAACATCCCGCATACCCTATCTTACCCTGTTGCTTATTCTAATATTGTATATATACGTTCTATTAGATGAGAAAAGAAACGGAAGAAAATGTTTTAAACACTTAATTTCAAGGGAGATGGCTTCACATTTACATATCATTTACGTTTGGAGTTGCCAACAGTCAAATCCTCTTGTATTTATGATAAACTTGATAGGTGTTTGTAGTCATATTTGTGATTCAGATTAAGGTTTTTTAACTCTTAATTATCTAAGATTTATTAATCTGGTTTCTGTCTCAGAGCTACACAAATATGGAATACTGCAAATGAGGTTTGTCTGGTTCATTCATTAGGTAGCATTTGTTGTGGGGTCATTAAAGTTGTTCTTTAGCTTTCTTTCTGTGGTGAGTCACATGGAAACTCATGTTGTCTTGAGGCACCATGATAATGGTGATGTTGATGTCGGCATCATGCCCCCACACATCCTCCCAAAGACAGCTCATTACATCATTGATTCCACCAACTCTTACACAATTCCAAAGTATCCATCCTCTCGTATTGATCTTTGTGTGAACCTAAATCAATGAAATCTAATATTTTGTAACTTCCATTGACAAGTTATGTGTTGCCTTTCATGGATTTGTGGACATACTGTAAGATAATCGGATTCATAAACAGTCTGATGAATGATGATACATAAGCACATAAAAAACAGATGGTTACATTAAGAATAATACAACACTCTTTATACACAATAGAATCAAATCACACACAAACTCATGAACAAAACAATGAAACTAATGGTAAAAAAAATGAATTGTTTGCTTTGACTCAAAAGAGAAGGCCAGAGGCCAAAGCAACAACAGATGCAAACAATGCTGGTACAAACATGGCAGCATCAGAAGTTGGGCTTGGAGCTGGAGCTTCCACAGTGGCGGCCGTCGCTTGTCCTATGGCTGAGAAAGCCACCGCAAAGACCATGAAAACAACCATCATCTTCATTGCCTCCATTACTTACTTCTCTGTGATGTATGAAGAAAGATTTGTTTTTTTGTTTGTGTGTGTGTTGTGTCGTGATGATAATAGCTGTGGGGATGGTAATGTGTATTTATACAACAATTGAAGGAGACTTTCACAGCTGGCAAATTGGCTGTCTCTTACCCCAAACCACATTCTTCCTTTAGATTCAACCACTGTCCTTTTTTTTTTCTTTCCAACCTCACAATTATATTTTAAAAATATTTTTACATTATTTATATTTTGATTACATAATATATTTATGTGTAGTTCACATTAGTAGTTCAAAGAAAAAAAACAAGTAACATCAACTTCTTCTATGTATTAATTACTTCTGCTTAAAAAACTAAAATATTCAAACAAGTCTACTATAAAAACAAGTTTAGTAAAACATTTTTATCACAAAAAGTCTACTAAACCATATGAACTTTGTGTTTTTTTGTTAACAAACGCATTTTAAAATAAATCATACTATATTTGTTGCAGAACTATCTTCATTGAAAGTATTTAGTTTCTAGAAGTGCTTCTAAAAGAATCACTTTATAATGTTGGTTTCATTTCATTAAAGGGTCAATTAGCCGTTTTAGTGTTTCCTTGAAATCAGTGAAGTTTTGTATCAAAGTTCACACCAAACTTTGAAAATGACCAACTACTACATTGCAGAAAAGGAACTAATAATTTAGTTTATGACCGTTGAATTTTTTTGCCTTCCTTTGGTCATTGCAACACTGTATATCAATAGCAAATTCGTTGTATTTATACTAAGAAAATCAAAGAAGAAGATGATAAATAAAAACTAACTGTTGACAAAAAAAAGAGGAAAATTGTATAAAAAAACAGGAAAACTGTATAAAAAACAGGAAACTGATACGTACTGTCACTTTAAACCTTAAAGTTTTTTGATGAGCACTTTAA